GTCCCTCTTTCCAGTGACACTCTCCAGCTCCTCCTGGGAAATTCTTAGGTACCTGATCACACAGAAAGCATTAAAGCAGCTGGAGGCAGCTTTTGTAATTGTTTAAATGAAAATTAAACTTTTTGCTCGCCGTTTTCATGTTGCTGCGTGCTTTTGCTGGAGCGCTCTGATCTCCTTGAGTTGAAAAAACTTCAACTCAGAGCAGAAAAGCGCCCCATGTCATGTCATCAATTTTTTAATGGGATGATTTCAGAGGTGGGCCATATGTGGTGGTCACGACAATAAGCTGACAGTTGGTAAACAATGGAGAAGAAACTGGTGGTAGCAGTTGCTGGATACCCAGAGCTACACAACTTTTCATAACGCATGTACCATGATCTCAACAGAAAACAGCAGGCGTGGAAGCAAATAAGTGCAGTACTTGAAATGTCCATGATGGAGGAGAAGCTCCTGGACCAACTGGTGGTACTCCCCATGATCCAGCCTCTTTTTTTAGGGTCTCATGAACCCACACAGATCTCTGTTTATCTGCTGACAGCTTCTCACCCTCAACCAGAGCTACACACAGTACCCTCTGCCTCAACATGTCAGCAGCTACACACTGATTACGACGAAAATAAGTACGTCGTTTTATCTAGCCAAATAAACAGCAGATTGATTACACGGTAAGGTTNGCTACACACAGTACCCTCTGCCTCAACATGTCAGCAGCTACACACTGATTACTGTGAAAATAAGTACGTCGTTTTATCTAGCCAAATAAACAGCAGATTGATTACACGGTAAGGTTAGAGTAAGGAGCTGATGATTTAGTTGCATGGCAACAATATAAAGGTGCAGCAAGTGTTTGTTACTAGTGGCATTCAATTAAAGAAAAAAAAAAAGTAGTGCAGTGCGCCTTACATTGTGCAACCTGCAAAAAGCTTTCTCTGTGATTGGGGCCTTAAGGGTTCCCAGGCCAGATGAGATACATAATCCTTCCAGCGTGTTCTGGGTCTGTCCCTGGGCCTTCTGCCAGTTGGATGTAACCAGAAAATCCCTAATGGGAGGCATCCAGGAGGCAACCTGATCATGCCATCATGCTGATGTGGCCAGTTTCAACGCGAAGGACCAGCGGCTCTTCTCAGGGCGCCCTCCAGATGTCTGAGCTCCTCACCCTGTCTCTATGGTTGAGCCCAGCCACTCTACAGAGGAAATTCATTTTGGGCGATGTATCTGCGATCTCATTCTTTTGGTCACTACCCATAGGAGAGGGTTGGGATGAGAGCTTTTCCTTTTGGCTCAGCTTCCTCTTCAACGTGACGATCTGGCACAGTGCCCATGTTAATGCTGATGCAGCACCACCCACCTATCCATATCACACTCATTTTATCCCCTCATGAACAATACCTAGAGACACTTGAGCACCCTTCGCTTGGGGCGGCAACTCTCTCCCAACCCAGAGGGGGCAATCCACCGATTTCCAGCAGAGAACAATGAACTCAGACTTGAAGGTGCCAACTCTCATCCTGACTGCTTCACACTCAGCAGTAAACTGCCCCAGCGCATGCATCCTTATGAATGACACACTCTTACCATTTGCCTGTACTGCCTATGCCACTAGCCGCACTGCAGGGGCGGACTAAACCAGCTTGCGCCTTTAAGAGGTGAGAGGGGCCTCAGAGAGCTCATTCTTTTTGTTAATACAAAGTTCAGCCTCTTAATCCATTTATTCAGTTTACTTTAGTTATGCCACTTGATACTTAGAAATAAAAAAACTGTTGACAAAGCCAAACATTTCATTCCAGACTTTTTGAGGGACCGCCTCCCATTAGGGCCCTTGGTAATCAGTCCCACTTTTTTCAGATTCAGATTCAGACAGCTTTATCAATCCTACCATTTGAATACTGAGGAGATGTGTCCAATGTATATTATAATTACCGCCTAGCTCGATAAAGATGGAAGCTATTGTACACTGGAATCAGTTGTGATGGTTTCCTTCTTTCCTTCAGTAATTTGTAATACGATTTTGTGTGTGTGGCGTGGATGCATTTCATTTATATTGTATCATGGCAATAATAAACCCTTGAGTCATGTGAATGCATTAAATTGCAGTGGAAAGTTGGCCCAGAGTTCAGAGATCAAACGATTCAGTCAGAGCGTTCTTGATTGTTATTACTGTGCCTTACAAGAATTATTAGTCTGATTAAAAAAAGATTTAACTTTGATGAGTGAGTAAGCCAGTTACTAATAATAAACATGTTCTCAAACACAAACCTTACAGCAAAACGCATTTATTGGAAGATCACAGAGAGCAGATAACAATCAAGTTATTTGTTTTTCTCATCACAGAATTATCACTTTAAAGTGGATTAAATTGGTAAAACAATAATATGAGATACTGAGATACACTTGTCATTTCAAGTTCTGGTGATTTTGGGATCAAATTCATCCACAAAAAATCTGAAAGAAAATAACTTCATTAAAGAAATCTCATTGATTAATTGAAAATGGAAAATATATAAAATGCTTGACAGTGTTTGTGAGACAATGTGTTTCCATTGTCACACTGGAAGTAGAGCTGATAACGTTGAAGAAATCATCGTCAGTGTGACGTCCTGCAGGTAGAAAACCTGTCAGCTGCTCACGCACATTCGTCAAAGAAGTTCCGGGCGAAAAAACACCGGCGAGAGGCGTGATTCACTATGGTCCTGTCGTGATGAAAAAAATAGAACAATTTGTTAAAACAGCACTCATTAGTTTGTCAGTAGGCAGCGTATCACCCCACAATTTAAATTTTTTATTGCTTTCACATTTTGATTTCAATGCCTGCACTTATATTTTGTTGACCTTCCTGACTGGAGTTCATATACAATAGTCTTCATTGTGACTTCACTTAATCTGTATATGAACTCAGTATTCAGCAAGGAAACAGCCTGGCTACAATCTTTTATTTTCAGGGGAGATCTGGTTAGGATGGCTACATGAAAAGTTCAAGGCAAACAAATGAAACGATACAGAAAAGCAGGTGACAATATTAATCTAAACTGTACTGAGTTACGTGTTTATTTAGTACAGCTACTGAAAATTATGCAATTTATTCCTACAGTCTTGCAATAAACCCTCCGTTCATAGGGTTATAAACATGGACAGATTATGAGACAAAGGGCCCCTGGGCACAGACACACAACTTCTCCTACACAGGAGTTGTTTTGCATGTCTTGTCCCTAGTATTTCTCAGTCTCTTTGTGTCTCTGCAACGGTTTTGCATCTCTGTCGTCATTTTGTATGTATTTTGTGTGTGTTTTACCGCTTTTCGTAGTATTTGTCAGTCTCTTTGTGTCTTTTTGCAGCTGTTTTGCATTTCTTTGGAGTTGTTTTGTGTCTCTTTATGGTTGCTTTACCCCATTTTAGTGGAGTTTATCAGTCTCTTTTTCCCTATTAGCAACTGTTTTCATTTTGTGTCTGTTTGTGCTCATTCTAAGTTTTTCCAGGTCAGTTTCCTCAATTTGCAGGTGAAGCACAGGGGGACCGACACTATGGGCCATGGGCCTGTACGCCTGTTCAGTAAATCATTTATGATTATAATGTTTTTTTTGGTTGAAAATAACAGAATAACATCACTTCCTTAACCTCTTTATACAAAGAAGGTACTGCACACCTCATGACCTCGTGTTTTAGCATAAAAATTAATTTTAAAAAAGCAAACTTTACACAAGATTACACAAAACAAACAGATTAAGGAAATTAGGACATTTTAGATGTAAACGTCCAGCGTTCTGGGAATTTTTTTCATAGGGACCCCAGCAGCCGCTAAGCTAACTGTGGTGCTCACTGTTCTAGTCATGGCTGCCAGTGGGGAGTCAGGACAATCGGCGATCACATCCCCAGTGCAAAATGATTGAATGCAGGTATTGTTTGACCGATGATGACTGATGTCTACTTGATACTGGGTTATTTCGGTCAGTACTTTAAGGGTATCATATACCAATACTCAGCCCTGCTTATTACTATCCATACAATGTTCATTCTATCAGTATTTTGAGATATATGTCTTAAAAGTTAGTTTTCAGACACAGTATCATTTTAACTTTGCTGTATACATACTTACCAGATGTGATGAGTCCTCACAATGCAATTAATGTCATCCATTATGTTGTCATCGGTGAAGGCTTCAAGGGAAAAAAGGAACAGTTATTTATATGCAAAATGTAAAATATAAGTAATTATCTTTTTTTCTCTGCACATATTTGCTTCAAAGACTCACCTGTGCAGGGGCTATGGCACAAGTTCCTGGAGCTGTGGTAGCCCGAGTTACAGAAGTACTGGTCAGACAGCTGGAAGAGCCCGTATAGACCGATCGACTGTGGCCTCCCCTTCCCCCTCCACCTCTTTTTGATCTGCCAACGACTGACGCGTCGCTTCTTACGTGTCCTACCCTCCTCAAACTTCTCCGTACTGTTCTCATTACTCTCTTCATCCTCACTGTCTGTGCTGTCATCATCCCATGTCACCTCGTCATCCTCATTGACCTCACCTTCCAGGTCATTCAGCATGTCCTCCAGGCTTTCATCTATCTCATTGCTGGTCGGGTCAGCTTCACGCTTTCGTCTGAGGTTGCCATCTTCCGTCGTAGTCGTTGACTCAGGAGTTGTTGGTTGGGTAGTCGTTGGTTGAGTAGTCGTTGGCTGGGTAGTCGTTGGCTGGGTAGTTGTTGGTTGGGTAGTTGTTTGTGTAGTTGTTGATTCAGTAGTAGTTAGTTGGGTAGTTGTTGGTTGAGTAGTTGTTGGTTGGGTGGTTGTTGCTGTGGTAGTTGTTGGTTGGGTAGTCGTTGGTTGGGTGGTTGTTACTGTGGTAGTTGTTGGTTGGGTAGTTGTTTGTGTAGTTGTTGATTCAGTAGTTGTTAGTTGGGTAGTTGTTGGTTGAGTAGTTGTTGTTTGGGTGGTTGTTGATTCAGTAGTTGTTGTTTGGGTGGTCGTTGCTGTGGTAGTTGTTGGTTGGGTAGTTGTTGTTGTGGTAGTCATTAGTTGGGTAGTCGTTGGTTGGGTAGTCGTTGGTTGGGTAGTTGTTGGTGTGGTAGTTGTGACTGCAGTTGTTGGCCTGGCTGTTGTAGTTCTGCGCTTGCCAAAGACCCTGACCAGGCCGGTGTTCAGATGGGACCTCCTATTTGCCTCACAGATAACTGCAGCAAATAAGTCATGGAAGCAGATGGCAGAGGGCAAACAAAGGAAAGAAAGAACATAATGTCAGAAAGAAATCCCCCCGTTAACATTTTTCTTTCAGTTTGCAGGAACTCTCCTAAACATATCTGTCTTCTTGCTCTATATTTTCTCAGAGTGATTCATGGTGGGGACTCTGGAGGTCATGTGCTAACTCTATTAAACCTCATAACCAAACATTTATTAACCTCACCTATTTTCAGGATTTTCTCCCTGAACTTTTGAAGGCTTTCAGGCAGGATGAGTGCCTGGTCAAGCTTTTCTCTCAGCTCGCATTTGGAGACAATCCGACCCTCGGACAGGCTGGGCAGCAGAACCACCACTGCCAACACCACCAGCAGCTCCAGCTTCATGTCAACAACTTCTTTGGGAAGAAAATGGGAACATTAAAACAGTACTGTAGGTAGAGGTGGATGGGGTACAGCAAGCCACAAGGTGTACACTACACAACAGCAGGACATTCCAAATGAGTAGACTGGTTTAAACTGATCCTCAGTGTTCAGCTCAGTTTTCAGTAAACAGAGTCCTCTAGTGGCGAGAACTTATTTTTAAAACAAGTGAAATATCTGCTAGTGGGATGAGATCATTTTACCTGATTACAGTACAAGTCAAATCAGCTATTTAAAGTTCAACTACTACACAAATAAAGTGTATTTTTGTCCGTCTAGATATAAGATATTTACTCTAATTCAAGAACAATTGAAACAAGGGGAAAGCATTAAGAAAAACAAGCTTTTCTTTTTAAGAAAAACAAGTCTTAAAGGCTGCATTTAAGTCATTTGTTAGTTTGCTGGGTTTCTTTTAGACACACATATTTTCACAGAAATAAATGTTCATGTCCTTTAAAAGTATATTTGCATGGTTGAAATATCTGCTAGTGGGATGAGATCATTTTACTGGATTCCAGTACAAGTCAAATCAGCTATGTAAAATTCAACTATCACACAAATAAAGTGTATTTTCATCTGTCTAGTTATGAGATATTTATCCTAATTCTAGACAGTCTGAAACAAAGCAAATGCATCAAGAAAAAAAAGCATTTTTAAAAGAAAAACAAGTCTTAAAAGCTGCATTTAAGTCATGTGTTAGTTTCTTTTGCTAGGTTTTTTTTTTTTTTATGGTTTAGACACACGAATCTTTGGAGCAATAAATGTTCATGTCCTTTAAAAGTGTTTTTGTAGAAGAACCTGAAGAAAAAGCAATTACTATTTAGAATAAATTGGGTTCTTTGCTGCTGTAAAATGTCTCATTTCATCCCTTTACTCTACAAAGTCAAATCAACAATTTACACATTGTCATCAAGAAAGTAAAGTTGATAAGAGACACTAAGTTGAACACAGCATGTAGTGAACAGAGACAAATAACTGGCCCTAGTTAATTGTATAAATTATTTTCATTTGCTTTAATTCGTATTTTTTAATTTCATTATTTTTTCCAACTTCAAAGTGATGAGTAAAAGTGAAGAGATTAAACATTAAATATAACATTCATTTGTAATAACAAAAAGAAGATAGAGAAAATATGTTTCTTACCACGTTCTTCCACCTGTAGCAAAAAAGGTCTTTGCTGAGTGAAGTTTGCTGCTCTGTGTCTGCAGACAAAATGTCTCAGTATATATATCATGACTTCAAGCTGTGGATGAACCTGTTCTGTCACGGTTCTAGACATTATTTCCTTGAGGAACAGGGAAATTGTCAAAGTCATGAATAAACAACACACAAAGATTTCTGTGTGACCATTGTGAGAAGCTGGATTACATTTCTTCAAAACCCACAGTGACCTCAGAGACTGTTCACCCAACACCCGAACGTGACATTTACAATTTTCGTAGTAATTTCATATCGAATTACAGCAACAATGAAGAACAACAATGACATAATCACAACTCAAGAGTTTAAACTGAAAACACAATGAACAAAAATTTAAACGCAACACTTTTGTCTTGACTCCCTATTTTCAGAGGTTTAAGGCAGAGATCTGAAACATTTTTATCCACACAAAAGACTTCGTTAAAATCTGTGTCAGTGAGCACTTCTCCTTTTCCAAGATAATCCAGACACCTGCCAGGTGTGGCATGTCAAGATGCTGATTAAATACTATCAATACTACACAGGTGTGCCTTGGGATGTTCACAATAAAAGGCCACTCTAAAATGTGCAGTTTGATTTTTAATAAAAGGACATTTATTCGGATTTCACAGGATTAGTGCTACATGTATGTTTGGTCACAGTACCCCAAAGAATCAGTCAGTTATCTGACATGAAATCATTTTCCTCATGCAGTGTGGCACATCTTATTCACTTAGAGTTGATTAGGTTGTTGATTGTGGCCTGTAGAATGTTGCCTCACTCTTCAATGATGTGTGAAGTTGCTGGTTTTTGGCAGTTGGAACATGCCGTCATACATGCAGACACAGATAACATGTCTGGTGAGTATGCAAACCATGAACTCGGATGTTTTCTGTTTCAGGCATTGTGTACAGATCTTTGCAACATGGGGTTGTGGATTATCATGCTGCAACATTAAGCCATGGTGGCAAATAAATGGCAGGACAATAGGTGTCGAACTGCCATCAAAACAATGCATGTGTGATCTTTGATATATGCAAACTGCTAGCCTGCATGAGGGCACCTCATCTGCCATCTGCCCCGTCAGCCCGTTCTCATTCCCAACTCGTCAAATACTGTCGCTCTGTCAGTGATTTCAGCATCAGACACAGATGCAAAATCAATGTATTTTATCTATGTTGTAAGTTTATTTTGAAAAAGACGGTGTGCATTTAACGAGCAGAAACTGTTTAGTTCCTTTGAACATGGAAGTGTATTTTGAAAAGACACAATGCATGTAGGACACGCTGTCCTGGGATGTCAACAATAGACACAGGAGGTTACTTAGGCGTCATATTTAGATGTGAAAGTCCACTAACAAAGCAGCGATATCTGGGATGAGAACGTGTTGGCCAGGTACAGTTCAAACCAAGATTTATCTGTGAAGAGAGCATGTTTCCAAATTGCCAGACACTTTGGATTGTGAGCAGTTGATTACTCAATTTGGTTATGACGACACTGCTGACAGGTCAAGACCCTGATGAAGACGATGAGCACACAGATGAGCCTCACTGAGTTTTCTGATGGTTTGTGCAGAAATTATTTAGTTGTTCAATCCAGCTGTTCCATCAGCCATCTAGGTGGCTGGTCTCAGGTTATCTTGCGGGTGAAGATGATGGATGCGGAGGTCCTGAGCTGGTACGGTTACATGTGGAGGATGGTTGTGAGCATGGTTGGATGTGCTGCCAAATTCACATGACATTGGAGACGGCTCCTGGTAGTGAAATGAACAGTCAGTTCACAGGCAACAGCCCTGGTGGACGTTCGTGTAGTCAACATGACAACGGCACGCTCCCTTAAAACTTGTGACATCTGTGGTATTGTTTTCTGTCATCAAGCTGCACATTTAGAGTGGCCTTTTATTGTGACCAGCCCAAGGCACATCTGTGCAGTAATGATGCTGTTTAATATTCATCTTGATATGACATATGGATGATTATCTTGGAAAAGGAGAAGTGCTCCACAAAAAGTGTCAGATCTTTGACTGAAACTGTCTGAGCAAAAGGGAGCAAAATCAAAAGTGTTGCATTTAATATTTTTTTGAGTGTATAAATAGTCCTGTGTGTATGTGTGTACCGCAATAAGACATGTATGAATCAATCTTTCAGTTTTAAATATGTATAATAATATAATAATCTTTATTTATGAAGTGCTTTTCAAAACAGTGCTTTTCAATTAAAACAGACAAGACATGAAAACAACAAATTTAAAAGAACTGATAAAAACACTCAGAAATATATAAAAACTGAAGAATAAAAAGACAGTTTAAATGAACTTAAAATCAGGAAAGACGCTACGATAAAAGTATGTTTTAAGAGATCACTGACTCAGCAGACCTGATTTCCTCGGGCAGATTATTCCAGAGCCTCGAGGCCCTGACAGCAAACTCTATCTCCTTTAGTTTTCAGCCTGGCCGCTGAAACAGACAAAGACCTCTGTCAGAGGACCTCAAAGTACATCCTGGCCTGTGCGGCACTAAGAGTACAGAAATGTAGCTGGGAGAGAGACCATGAAGAACCGTAAAAATAGTCAGTAAAACCTTGAAATCTGATCTACATCACACTGGAGCCAGTGTAAAGAGGCTAAAACTGGAGTGATGTGATCACGTCTCCTAGTCCTGGTTCTGGTGTAGGCCTCTACTTCCCCAGTACAATCATCAAAGTGACTCACTAGATTGTAAAACCCAATAGTTGGTAAAATAAACACACACCCCATGCTGTGTGTATGTGTTCCGTAACTAACCAGCGTGCACTGAGGCCTGTTGTAGCCACCTTACACCACTGGCAGAAGTATCTGAGAATCCACAGGTGGACAGGAATGAGGCAGAAAAATGTGTAGGCATTCAGATATAGATAAAGGTTCAGGTTCAGGTAGCCTACAGGTGGCAGGAAATCTAAAGCAGAAAGCAACAAAGACGACTGGGTAATGAGGGAATGAGGAGCAGGTGAGCAGGTGGATGTAGGAAAGGTGGATAGGTGGGAACGTCTGAGGGGATCTGGTGAATGGATGGAGAAGTCTGAAGAGCTTGTGGCAGAGAAGTTTCTGCAGGCAGACGTTTGGCACTTTGTGTTTACAGTTTCACGCTCCTGTGTTCTAATGAAAATAAAAAAGATAAACTGACTCCGGCCTCAACTAACTACCAGACAATACTATCCCCGCTCTCAGGAGGATGTGCCAAATTTGGTATTTGGCATGAGAACAACCTGCAGACTGACTGTATCACAGCCGTGCCCATGTTTGCCCAACACCGAGTCAGATGCCAGGAAGCATAAAGCTAACTAGTTTGTCTAGTTTGATTTTTTTGCTGTGTCACAATCCAAACACACATTCATGGGCACTGAACACATCATATCAATCATATCATATGTTTCCAGGAAGTCTGATCCAATAAAGGTCACAATGAAAATGATCTTGAGTTTCAAAGAACAAAACAAAACAAAACAAAACAAAAAAATGTTTTGATTAAAAAAACAACAGAACATTCTCCAGAGAGGAGGATCTTTTTATAAGAGGACACCAATGGGCTTATGAAATGTTTACTTTATTTATCACTTTATTTTTTAAAGTAAAACATATACTTTTATTCTGTTAAAATGCCCCAGACTAATCATTATGAAGTGTAGGATTTTAAATTGTGATTTAAATAATTAATACATTTGATTTCTTTACTGAAACCCACTGTTTAGATGTGATCCTACAAACAAAAGACAGCAGCTTTGGTTGTTGTTTATTTCAAAGGCTCTGCTGCAAAAACTACGTCTGCTCCGTGGTTGCATTTAAACACAATCCTCACGATGTCAGGTCTTGGGACATCTTAACAATAGCTGTACCTCTTGTTTACACTGAACTTACACTGAACTCTGCTGCATACCAGTGGAATAAGCTCCAAAAGAATTGAAGTCACACTCTCTTATTCCATTTGAGCATTTTAATGGTTATATTTATGCACCTGCAATCACTCTTGTAATTTTTTTCTTAAGTTTAAATATGTGAAGTGTGCGTCTGTCCATGTTTAAACTGTATGTTATTTATGTGTGCAGTTTTCTCTTGAAAAGAGACTCTGAAAAAAAACACCCTCAACAGATTTCTAATGAATTAACTCCAGACTAGTCCATACCCATTGGTAGCTTTGTCGCCTTCTACCTATGCCAATCCTCAATGCCTATGTGCAGTTTCACATAGATTGACCACGTCAGTGAGTAGAAAAACGTGGGACAGACAGAATGACTGACTGACAGAATGACACACTGACAGTTTCTGTGATTATGTACAGCATACCATACCATGACTTAGTCATACCAAAAATTAGACAAAACAACAACATTGGTCCACAGGGGGAGCCACAGCGATCGGTCGCATTTTAGCCATTTTGAAGCATTTTTCTGTTGTTATAGCGCCACCCAGTTGCCAATTAGAGTTAAATTTCTCCAGTCACCTTGAGGCATCCTGTTCTACATATCTACCAAGTTTAGTAAAAATCCATATGGCGGTTAGGCCTAGATAAGAAATGAGCTCTCTAGCGCCCCCATTTTGTTTGATGGGGTCAATAATGGAGGGGTCCCCTCAGATTATGTGTGGTCATATGCCTACAAAGTTGCGTGGTGATGGGTGAAACCCTTGAGATGTTATACACCTTCATGTGATGAGCCACGCCCTCCGCAATATTCATTGCCTTATAGAAGCTCAGTTTTAGTAAGTTTTCCAACTTTTGCCAAGAGGGAACTTTAGATATTGGTCCCTAGATTATGTTCACCCAGTTTCATGCAGGTCGCTCAAACTTCCTAGGAAGAGATCCATTTGAAGTGTTTTTCAAAAAATTTAAAATGGCGGAAAATCTATATAAGCGGAAGTTATGGGTTCTTGAGGCAAATGTGTTCCTCATGAGGAGAGGCATCTCTGTGCAAAGTTTCATGTCTCTACGACATACGGGGCATGAGATATGCCCATTCAAAGTTTGCCATTTCAATGGGTTGCTATAGAGCC